TACTGTATTTCTTAGGTTGGAGACCACGTCGGTCTTTGGTATTTGGAAGCTGGGGAGCGGAGGAGTACGGACTAATCGGGTCTACCGAGTGGGTTGAAGTAAGGTTCAATTCGACTCCAGATATGGCTGTTTTACTTTATAGCCCATTTCTTTTCAATCTCACATGTTAATCTATACTTAAGTAAATTCTCATAAAAGTAGCGCTCACGCACAGCTTCCTAGCCCGTGCGAATTGTGCATGAACTCTCAACTCGGGCTAATCGCCCAAAACACCATTGTATTCATTGTTCATTTCGAAGATTTACTATTATATACATTGTACATAACTTTTGGCTTGCCTGTTTTGGTATGCCATTTCTTACATGTAAATCAACACGAACACATCTAGAGATATTGTTCTCAGAAAAAATAACTGATAATAAGACTTCTTTTTATTCCTACAATTTGCACTTTCTAGATTTGCTTTGGTATTGTTTTACAATCGTAGAACTAACATGTATACCTTTCTAGGTACTGAAGATTGTTGTATATTCTTAACAGGTATAGGCGTTACTTAGCCCGTGCTAACAACTGTTTCCTCCCGCGCGTGAACGCATTGGGTCTATCTGATATGCACAAATATGAGATTACCTTTAGTCTTAGTTCGTACTTCGTGAACACGTAACTACTAAAGTGGTAAAATATTGTGTAAGTGTATAAATATCGAAAGCTGGGTTACCGCGAAATTTCAGTTTCGGCGCGGTTTCTCATAATCTATCGAGACGAATATCTGAATTTAATTCCAATTTTGACCTTAACGCTGATTGGTGGAATATTAATGAGCCTCTCAATCATTGCATCACCACGGGCTAAACCCCAGACCCGTGACAATCATCACCAGTGTCGCAAGGTCGATAACAGTTCGGAGGTAACTCGGCTTTCGCCATTTATACAAATGTCGGCTAAATCATAAATCACGTCATACTTCTAATGTTCACCATCAGCTTCTTAGCGTGTGTAGCTTGTTAATTTAAGACATCATATTGAACTTCATCGCCAACTTAAATTAACCGTTGCCATTTGTAATAAACACAAATTAAAGCGGGCTTTACAAACGTTGGTTGTATTATGAGTTTTGAACCCAGTGTGCATGACAGTTCGACTGTTACTGCTGCCTTACTTTTACATCACACCATGTATATCATTGTACATTTCGTAGGAATTCGTCCAAAATCTCGCTGCAAGAACTGTGGCCTATCTGAACGTTGATATTGCTACAAGTGGAGATTTTACATTCGTTGCCAAGTCTACACCTCTATTATATGAAGCTATTTACAGTGCAACAAAAAAGGTAAAATTCAACAGCTGTCATGTTGGATATAAAAAACTAACAATTTATAATCGTGCTAGCCGTGTCATAAGTTGGCTGTTCGACATAAGACACTCATATATGTCAAATATTTCTTCTCGAATGTCGTTAATGTTTTGGTATAATTTAATATGTATGTGTTCGTTAGGTGACGTCACCGGAAGACAGTAGTAAGAGCGTCTATGATGTTTGGTTAGAGAGATATCCTCCTGATTCTGGCGATTTACCTCCGTAAGTATTTTAACCAAATACTGTAAATAAATGGTGTTTTTTGAGCAAATTTCCATTTGATATTTAAGTAATGTGATCTACAGCCGAACGATTTAAGTGTCCGCACATGTTTGTATGCTATTGAAATATACATGGCATTTTTATTTATTTATAAAATTTTACTGATCGGCGCTGGTGTGGTATATCGTCGATTAAAGTGTTCATTATTCTTTATATATTACAGGGGTAAGTATATCGTTAAAATTCATTACCTATCATATATTACATTATATCGTCGGTCGCTCATCAAAGTTTGGTACTTTTATCAAAAATTAACCACTCATAGTAAATTCACAAAACAATATAATAATATGTGGTTCATTACATCTAATAACGTGTTTTATTATATGACTACAGCATTTCATCTCTAGGATCAGGCAGTGACTTCGCACCTTTCACTTACCGTATCGGAGTACCTGCAGCTGATCTGCGTTATAGACATAATCCGGTAAGTACGCTAATCGTTATACACAGGTGTGTTGTATTTAAGTTAGAAGCCCCTCCCCCCCCCCCCCCATTCGTCGTGTTGCGGCGTGTGCAACACAGGTCAAATGCAACGTAACTGTAACATTGCATCGTTTGATTGTTCACACTCTGGCGCTGGAACGTTAACATTAAAGATGTGACATGTTTATGCCAACGATTTCTGGTATTGTATGTTGTGCAATTCATAGTCGGTTTGTACATGTCTACTACAGCAAGCGTTGATCTAAATGACATTGATCCATTCTAGGGCCTGGGTATTTCATCGTATCCAGTATATCACTCAGTTTATGAAACGTATTATTTGGTGGAAGCTTTCATAGACCCGGAGTTTAATCGAAACTTAGCTGTGACCTCAGTGTGGGGCGAGCTCGCACGCGATCTGGCTGACTCCATAATAATACCATTTAACTGCAAAGATTACGCTGAACAGATACAGTTGGCTGTGGAGGATCTGAAAAGCAAATTTGAGAGTGAAATGAGAAACGAGGGGATTCATTTCGGTAAGTCTGAAAACAACCACCATTATTTGGTTCACGCCCTCAACGGTAAACTAGCATATATAAATCATTCGTATTTCAAAGATATTTACAAGTTATATTAAAAAATCAAATTGCTTTTTAATAGATGCCGTTGATTCTGCTGCTGCCAATTTCACCAGTGCCGCAACCTCATTCCACCAGCGTATTGCCAGCATGGAGTTAAACGAGTAAGACAGTTCTGTTACAATGCATGTACCCCATGACCAATAATCGTTGCGTTATTAGTTATTAAACAAATTGTTACCGAATTGCCAAATTTTCTGTTCTCGTAACCCAAAGATGAACTGGATTACACGCTATGTTCTTGTTTTTCTGTTCTTCAGTGCTATGAAAATTCGCAGAATTAATGATCAGTTGATGAGTGTGGAGCGTGCGTTTATAGACCCATTGGGACTTCCTAGTAGAAGATTCCTTAGGTAAGACTTACAAGAAAATGACAAACATACCCGAATACTAAGAATGCATCCAGTAAAAGTAAAAGTCAAAGATTTTAATTAATCGGAAAGGATCTCTAAAGGAAGAATCTACATAAAGAACTTGATAGGCGGGCTATACTATGTAAGCAATGCAACTTTCATGTATATTTGTATACTCCTAAACCGTCAAATGTTTCCGCTGATTTTTTTTTTTCATTTTTACACATTTAAAATAAATGTGTTGCTGGTTCAGGTGAATGTACATCCATAATATTATGTACTGATTTATGATTTTGTTCTCCAGGCACGTGCTTTTTGCTCCTAGTGTTACAAACTACTACGCTGGCTCAGCTTTTCCCGGTATTCAAGACGCTATGTACAAAATTAACGAGAATCTGGACCAATGGGATACCGTTAAACAACAAATGGCCGTTATTGCATTCTGCATACAATCTGCCGCATCCACCATGATGGATGTGGTTTTATGATTTGAGTTGAATTTTCACTCGATTATTTTTACCCGATACACTGTTACCCGTTACCTTCATTCGTTAAATTGATTTTTCCATAATTCTAAAATTATCTTTATCATAGATTTCTATTAAGTATTAATTCAAAAATCTGCATAAACTATTGCATAGTCCATGTAATATACCATTTTGTATTCATCTATTCAATGTTTTGTAGTTAACCCCTCGTGTCTTAAGAGTGTTGAATTAATAAATAACGTGCTATCCAAACTTGATTATTTCGAATCGGCCGTACTGTATGTGTAAAACTTGTTGCCCATGTTAGACTGGTTAGAATGACTGACACAATGACAATTAATGACTGACACAATGACAATTCTTCAATAATTACAGGGGCTGACTCGGAGTCGGCGTTTTTTACCAGGTAAAACAACTTGAACAACAACAAAATAATATACACAATTCAAAATAAAGCAAATACATTTAGCAGAATACGAGCCCACTATAACACACTGGATCCGTTACTGTGAACCGTGGTGAACCACTCAAAACATCTGTGCTATCGGGTTATATTGGTCTCTTTGTAATAGAATATTGACTCCATATAAATACTAGTAGTTAATATTCCGATCCCTAGGCGGGAATCGAACCAATCAAAGCCTCATATCCTAACCACTAGACCATTAGGGAGATGATTAATATTTAATTAGTCTTGTGAATATCGGATACTTAGATTGGGTGGTATAGTCTGATTTATTGAGCATAATTTACAAAAAATGTTTCCTCTAGGATGTTTTCAACGGCAGAGACCACTATTATGGTTCATAAGTTTTTTCTAACCGGTTTTCATTCTGACGTGATCACTACTGTAACGAGAAGATGTTTCCATCAGTAACACTTTTACTTTTTTCCTGTAAATTGAAAGTTGTAAGAATAACGGCGATTACTGGTACGATTTCAAAATCGTATGCCACCGGTTGTCGACGTGAGCATGCTCTTAACTGGGTGGCTGACTGTTCCATAACAAAGGTACCACCTCGACACAATTTAACTCGTGTAAGTATATGTCCTTACAGAACGTATGTACAAATTCTTATCAAGAATGGGATGTAACACATACTGAATAAATTCATTATCCGTATAAATCAGAAAGCAATACACCGTTCCGATAATTCGCGCCCTCTAGCGGTTACATTAGTTCCAACCTCAAGGAACCGCGACAAAAAAGTTCAAATTGACACGGATCACCTATATAATTTTCATCACACATTCTCAGGTCATCGTGATAAGGTTTAAAAAAAATTACAATATGTCTTGTACTCAAGCCATTGTTTACAACTGCCATATTTTAAGTTCATTTTTATTGCACACTTGCTCATTTGCATACATCCCTGCCAATACTATAATGTCGTACGGACGGGTAGATGGTTCAGTCTCCAAAACGCGTGTTTGCATTTTTGCAATCGTGTTAATGTCGATCGGGATATGTATTGGGATTCTGCTTGGGTACCTGATCGGATACTCCGTGCACTCGGAGTCTACCAATGAATCATGTGGAGCTGCCTGCAACGAACCCGATGATGACATCTCAAAGCGGCTCATGTCGTCCATGAACACAGCAAACATACGACATTATTTGAGGTGTGTATACTGGGGTGTCAACTAGTTGACTGATATTTGTTTTTTTACAGCAACGCATCGCTTTATATTTGACTGTATCACATCGCTTCCTTGACTTGGCGGTCTTAGAAGTGTTGCGAGATGATTTTTACATTTAAATAATATTTTGACTAAAACGTATCCAAATTAACCAAAATGTTTGCACAGATGTCAAACAAATGTCTATTATGTCCTACCTAATTAACAAACACTTCATTACGTTGACTGATCTTCTTCAACTTGAAGCGCAAATTGTGCAGAATACCCAATATTCGGTAAACTTCGACGGTGTCTATGTCAATGCAACTGAACAAGGCACACGTAGCATATAGAATTAAGCCGATTAACACCTTAAACAATAGGCGTTGCCAGTCAGTTTATTGGTTGCCTGGGTTATGATTATAACAAATCCGATAACGGTACACTCCCAATAGGCTGAGAGTAATGCAAACATATTTGTATTTGAAGACATGTAAATCCCGTAAGTAAATATATGCTGTCATGAAGGTCCGCCCTATATTTAGACAAAGACAATAGAAAAGATGTCTTTGATCACAGTCCCTCTATCATAGATAGAGGGACTGTGCTTTGATTCAGAGAACCGATTGTACTGTTGACGCTGTTCAACATAACAAAGGACTTGAATAAATTAATTGCCCGATACGCTATCTTATTCAAGTTCGCACCCACTTGCGATGAAACTGCTAAATTTTGTTACTTTTTAAAAAACAACCAATCAGTTGTTCACGACATAGCAGTCCTCGCAGATCAGATGCTTGTATATTTATATTTATAATGTATGATCGACATGGTAGACATTTGGTAAATATTTAGCTGTTTATCAGCGGCCAAATTCAAAGAAACGTTTTATTGAGTTTTTACGGATAATATTTTTTGATTATCATTACTAATGAAGATGTAATCTTTTAACACGTTCTTTACGCTAACGATGTGTAAATTACACAATCTATTCGCCACAAAATGGGCTAAAATGTGATGTCTTATGGACGTTTATGTGAGCCGTTGACGTTGAGTTACGGCTACGAGAACATGGAGACGTTCATGAAATGTAGTCCATAAAACATGTATATTGTTATAACTGCATACTTAGTAACTGGCGAGTCCTAATTTCAATTAAACTAATACTTGTGTTTCCCCTCTCGCTACCTTAATTTGTCAATGCACATATTGATATTTTCATACAATACATCCGGGTATATTGAATTTAATACTTTCCGCACCATACTCAATTATGTGTGACAGAAGTGATTCCTTATCCGAACCATTCTACTTGGTGTATCTACGTATCTAATAATGACTTGCGAATTGTTTCTAGTGTTTTAACAGAAAACCCACATCTGGCAGGTACATCGGCTGATAAATATACCGCAGAATATATACAGTCTACATGGTTAGAGCAAGGATTCGACTCTGCAGATATACATTCCTATGACGTATTACTTTCGTACCCTGACGAAGACAACCCTAACCTGGTAATGTGACTGTGTTTGTCTTCATAATCTACACGGATAAGCTTCTTTTATAGATTGTATTGCACTTGTGGTAAACGTATTTGCTGTGTTTGTTTCTTACAGGTACAAATATTAAACGATGATGATACTGTCAACTATACTTGCTCGGACATGGAAGAAAGTTTACGACCTGAGGATGAACATCCAGAAATGGTGAAACAGTTTAATGCGTACTCTGCTGCAAAAATGGCAAAGGTATGTGACAGTCATACTTAGAGTGGCCTTATCTTGTTTTATTAAACAAGAAAATAATTCAAAGTCTGTGATATATCCATTTATTTTATGGCTTGTTTGGTACATGCATGCCACGATTTGTAAGCATAGTAGTTTATGCTTTTATTGTTATTAATGTTTTATTACTGTTAAAATATGAAGATTGTAAATCTCACGCTTGTATTCATGTTGGCCTCGCATTTACAAGTATGTGTGTTTACAGCCATAAACATACTTTGTACGTCCAATTGTTTAACGTCCTGTGCAAACAAACCCTAACAATAAAATGCAAATTACCGAATAGTGAACATTATTGGTCTAATGTCCATCATTTCTGACTTTATTTAACCTCATCGAGGTCTTGGAGATATTAAATTTTCGCGAATTAAGGGAAATATTTGATGGTTCATCCTTGTTTTGATTCACTGCAAGTCAGCATTATTCTGAGCAAAATTCCAAAAACAAATTCCCCCAATTGAGACCATTACATATTTCACATCATAGTGCAATGACCCCAATACAGTTTAAGAAATATTTCATAATTTAACTTTTAATGATGCCGTTGAGCAATAACATGTACAGTGGTGTCGTTGTTTCTGCAGGGTGATTTAGTTTATGTCAACTACGCTCGTGTGTCTGATTTTGACACACTGGAAAGCGTAGCTCCACATGTCAACCTGACTGGTAAGATACTCATTGCAAGATACGGAAGACTATTTCGAGGAAACAAAGTATGTCTACAGCATGAACTGTTTTATTCTACACTTAGCATACATTTGCGTTCATTCGTTTATTTAAACATTTTGCCTTCATGTTACACTGGTCCAGATACTAGTACATGTTATTTGACCTATGTTATAGCTTTTTTCACTAGGATTATGAGGATTATTATGTAGGCATTGAATATACCCGCTATTCCAATCATGCAGGTAATCATTGCTCAAATTCGCGGTGTTATTATATCAAAACAAAGTTTAAAAGACAATGTTCCCTAGCCGGGAATCGAACCCGGGCCCTGTGGGTGAAAGCCACATATCCTAACCACTAGACCACTAGGGAAGACTTAAGTGATAGAACATTCTTGAAGCTAAGGAATGCTATGGTGCCATCATCACGGCATGGTGCGTGTACTATTATATTTGTACAAAGTTCCGTAGTCACTTGGGAAAATATGAACGGTGTTCCTATCGTGTATGTATTTAATACTCGTGTTCGTGTACTGTATTCCAATCTTGTAGGTATTAAATGCTCAGAACCGTGGTGCTATCGGAATGATATTGTACTCTGATCCTGCCGATTATGGGAGTAACGATGACAATGCCAAAGAGTATCCGGATGATTGGTGGTTGCCAGGCACCGGTGCTCAGCGCGGTAATCTACATGTCAGTGATTACAAAGGTGACGTTTTGACACCTGGATATCCAGCTAACAGTAAGCAATAATATCATTATTGTTTTTAAACAACTTGACACATATTCATAAATGTCAGATATTTGTCTTTTTTTTAATCAGTGGTCTTAAATGTTGAGTTGTAGAGTAAAATATTTATATACGGTGACTGATAGCGTCAGGGTATGTTTTTGCTGTTTTGATTTGTTTTTGAAATCTGGGTTTAGTGTAAATAGGTTATTTGTGAAACAATGCTTCATTAACATTGGGTTTTATGGACATCCTGATTGTCCTCAGTGTTGACTAATGACTAATTGAATATTTATAATGATATGTATGCGTAATCACTAAAGCTACTTTTTTAACCTGACACTATAATACAATAGGTTACATGGTACGTATTGACGAGGAAGACTCACCACTGCCAGATATACCTGTACAACCAATAGGATATGACGACGCCTTAATATTTCTCAGGTATGAGCAGTATTATAACCCACTTGTAACAACTCTATTCAACTAGTTAGTAATATTTAGTTTTTCATGTAGTTGTCTGTCATCGGGCTTTGGGTCTTGTATTTGGGGATGAATTTGGGGTATGTTGCTTGGCTTTGAGGATACCTTCTGGGAATCGCATATGTGATATTTTAACTGCCCAACAATATTTAAACAAGTCACTGCATGTCTTGTTCATCATTTATAATATAACACACACCAAGAGTTGCACGTTCTGAGGCCTACTTGTACATCAAAGCAGTGTGGCGAGCCGTACTGAACCGATCTGTCGTCCACTCAGTCTCAGACCGCCTAATCTGCCCTGACCGTCGACTCTGCACTCTCCCCACTGTGTTCTAACTCTGACTGACCCAGGGACTGTCCTAACTGTCTACCTCGTAAATTTGCATTTAAATGGGTCTCGATTTTTGTATTTTAGGTATATTTATCGGTCTTATTTCTGGTCAAGATAGGTATAAATATTGGTAATATTTTTCCGATTTGGTATAAATAACCTGAACATTGTGTTTTTAATATGCTCTTATGTAAGATACAGAGGTGTTTCTATGGTCAAAATAAATATTTCAATAAATTAATATACAATGCAACTGTTGGCTTACATGTGCTTCTATTTGAGATGCTTTTCTAATAGAGCAAATACGGTAACTGTTTTATTGGAATAAACAGTGATGACAGAAATGTACTTTGGTATAAATACAGGTATAGATTTGCCACTATCAGGTATAAAAATTGTTACACCTCCCTGGCCAGCTATGTATCAACTGCCCCCCCCCCCCGGGCGGGGGGGGGGCTTGACAACTTGCTAAGCTGAGGACCCCGGTAGTTCAATAAGATAAGTTATAAACGGAGAGATGAAACGGCGGCTGCTAGAATACCTCCTGGGTCTGAAATACTGATTATTTATTCTGCAGAGAATTGGGTGGTGATATTGCACCAGAAAGTTGGCAAGGTGGACTTAATATAAGTTACAGGATTGGTCCTGGATTTACAAACCCCAATAGGTGAGTAGACTTTCAATCTTTACTACGCATTATACTTTCATCTCTGTTGCTACTATTTAATGCTAACTCATTAATACTGACCATTTGTTTATGTCGTTTTTGCGCAATATTGTAGTGAAAGTTAGAGAGGAATACCGAAAACTAAGCAATGAATGAACACGTTTTTTTGCACTGTCAAACATGTCAAATACTCTACTCACAGACGCATTTAAGTTTACATATTAATATTATCTTTTGTAATATTACCAGGGGTAAATTCTCTTCTCTCTGGGGTTCTCCACACTTGCCAGGGGGGAATCTCGTCTCGTCTCTATATCTCGTCCCCTTGAGGTGCGGGATCGGGGAAGTCACTTATACTTTACAGTCAAATAAGACAAGCACAACGAAATGCGTTTCAACTTTCGTCTTAGTCGGTCTGTGGAGCACTCTATAAGACACAGCGCCCTGGGGAAAAATCCCCAAGACTATCGCAAGGCTGACCCAAGACTCTTTTAGACTGCGTCAAGGCTCGCCCCAAGTCTCTCCAGGACTGCACTCTCGACTGCGTCTGTCGTGCTGTACTCCCCAAGACCAACTCAAACTCTCTTTATTCATTTTCAAATCTCTAACCAATTACAAAGCAGTAAAAAGACTCTAGGGTGTAACCTTCAATCATAAAGCCAATCACACTAAGTAGTGAATACGTCATATCTTTGATTAATCGTTCACTACATTAATAACTACGAATACCAACTGTCAGAATGAGTAGTCTGAATAGCGGCGGATATCTCGTAATTAGTTCCAAATCACTGAGCCAAGTTCCGTCCAAAACTTCAAATAGGCCTAAACGATGACAGACATAACACAGCAATTCAGCTAATAATCAACTAATTAAGTCGGTTAACAGATACGCAAAAATAAATTCATGACAATATTATTGGTAGTGTCAAACCATAGTCTAGCATCCAATTTGGGAGATTTACATAATTATTCTGTAATATACCGTTTGAATGACATTCCACTCTGTCGCTGCATTTAAATTAACAGAAGTGTACAAATGGACATCCACACAAGCAGAGAAAGACGATTGACCTATAATACTATCGGGTTTATCCGCGGACAAGTTGAACCAGGTTAGTATAAATTGCATTTTGAGAAACAAATACTAGTATTGAAAGTATTTACAATACCTAAACACAAGCCCAACAGTGCTACAAATGCACTGAACAGAAATTGCAATTCAACTAGCCGTAAATAGTTGAGTTCATACGGAGATTTTAAATGTTACTGTAGTAAATGACCACACTTACTCATTCAGATAGTAAATCTCATATTTGAAAAAAAACGAGGTACACCAGGACCTGTACTCAGTATGTCAATTCAGTGTGTGTATTTTTTCCGTGTGTACTAGATCGTTACGTCATCGTTGGCAATCACCACGACGCATGGATATATGGATCCGTTGATCCTTCAAGTGGAACAGCCTCAATGTTGGAAATCAGCAATGCCTTTGGACTACTTCTTAAAGACGGTATGTATTCAAGGCACTGGGATAGTACATCAACTCACAAGCAAGGCTTTTAGTCGTCATTTCCAAACAGAATGTTATCTAATAAATCCATTTCAATTTTTATCTGTAGGAAACTCCGTGTATTTCACTCTAAGTTAAATGATAAAAGCACGATGCTTGCCGAACTTCATGTATCATTTCTAATTATTAGTGTCATTGCAGTAAGCTAATATTTATACTGGTAATCTAATTGCTATTATTTTCTACACAACACAACACAACACAACACAACACAACACAACACAACATAACACAACACTCATATATTTATTGTCATTGTTTACAGGCTGGCGACCTCGACGATCAATAATATTCTGTAGTTGGGGTGCCGAGGAGTACGGTTTGATTGGGTCTACTGAGTGGGTTGAGGTAATGCAGATTACATATTCAATGTTCAATTTGCTTAACTCTCAAACTTGAGGGCCAATTTTTAGAAAAATAGTTTTTCGCAACGTGTATATAATGCATAACTACGGTGGGAGATGGGGTGTCTGAGGTTACTATTTAACTTTCCACACGAATATATTATTAAATATTAACAGAAAAGTTTGGGTCAAGCCATACTGGGTTGTGATTGGTGCTTTCGGGGAACTTCGATGACATTGAATCTAGTCTTGAGTTTCACCAACCCCAGACGTATTTCCACCACCGAACCAGAATTTTAATTTTCATTTGATATTTGGATCCAATAGATTTAACTTGTTGATTTTTTTTGCTATAGGAGTTTGTCAAAAATCTTGGTGCACGAAGTATAGCGTATCTAAACGTTGATCAGTCAGTGAATGGCGATTGGTACATGCGAGCTAAGGCCTCACCGCTTCTGTTCCAAGCCATATTCAGTGCAGCCAAGAAGGTAAGAATTGGAAGTATTAATTCCCAAAGTGGAGACTAATTAATAATTACAGTAGATCGACGGTGTTGTTTACAATGAATAATGAACTGGTTATGATATCATTTGGCAGGTATTTTGTTACAGTTCAAATGGTTATTTTGTTTTGCTATAAATAAGCGAAGAACGGAGATTTTCGTAAGTGGTGATGTAATTGCAAACTGTTAATGTACACGCAAAATTATCCCAGACTGAAACCAGTCAAATTTCAGTTTGCTACTGTTGGGAATTTATAATTTATTTTTGCTGTATACAAAGCCTTTAATTATCTTTATTATTATTATTATTCCATTCCAGGTTGATGACCCTAGCGACCCCAGTAAAAGTGTTTACGACGTGTGGTTAGAGAGAAACCCGGACTTTCTTAACCCTGTACCTTAGTAAGTTAGAATACAAAGCACGTGACAATTTTGAATTATTGGAATATTAACAACAAACTCTTACCGTTCTGGATCGGAGGACTGTGCCTGGAGTGAGATAGTGTACGCGGGGCTATAAGCGCATTCTCACATCAA